AATATTTCTACTTTCACACATACTTCCCTTTCAGTTTTCCAGCCAATATATTTTTTTTGCCATTGTACACTAATGGTTACATTCTTGTAATGTTATTTCTCCAAGTTTTTCTTCTTAACTCTGATGGCTGTTATGGTGTTTTTCCTCTTCTTTCCTTGTTCCCTTCTTTCTTCCTTTCCAAAAAAAAAAAAGCTTACATGTAGGTCTTACCTCTCTTTTGCTTGCATCTTTCATTTTTATTTGTCTGTAAATGAGAATGCATGTGACTGAATGCTTTTCTGTGTTAATAGTGTTACTATCCTTTCTGATGCGCATACACTGGGATTTCTCTAGTTTTAGTTATTGTCTTTTTATCCAATTAGTTAGCAAATCTTGATTCTTTACAATGCTTCTCAGTTCTATCTTTATTTCCATTGACCTGGCTATGTTCATTTACCTTGCTAAAGTTCTTAGATAGTTCTTCATGGTCTGTGGTGCAGAAATAAACTCGTACTGCCTTTGTAGCCCTATTTCTGGGAGTGAGTCCTTCCTAAAATCTGTTGGCTCAGCATGATGGGGTATTTGCACTTGACAGTTGGTGCTTTTGCCTCTGTTCCTCTACCATCCCTTTCTTTTCCTCCCCCTCCTAGACATTGAATCTCAGAAAGAAAAATTCATAAGCAAAAGTCATCCTTTTTTCAGGCTGAATTCTTCGCTTCACACGTTTCTGTGCCATTGCATTTGTATCTTTTTTGATCCCTTTCTGCCTTGCCTTAAAATAAACTTTAGTACTTGAGTAGCTTGTTTCTGCTACCTAGTTTTTCTGTTCCTTGGCATCAAGAACATCTCTCAAGATCATCTTTATTTCTTCTTCAGAGCCTGCAACATGCTTTCTTTTTTATATCAGTGGTGGGAGGGACTACATTTTCTTTTTATTAACCTCTAGTTTTTTGGAGACAGTGTCCCTAAAACAATTAAATTTTGAGTTAAAAGTTAGCTTATCACTAATTTATTCCAAGATCTGTTTTACAGATGAGAAAAGTATGCCCCCCAAATTTAATTGAATTCCGTGGTATCATACCACTAAAGTAATTGATGGTTTCTGGCATTTTCAAACTTTAGTTTCTGACTTTCAGAAGGAATGAGGTTGACTGGAGAACTCTGAAGAGTTTTCATTTTCTTTAGAGGTTTTTGTCCAAGAGTTTAAGTCTCCTACATTTGCTTACAACATCTAACTTCTGCTGCACAAGGGAGTAGAGGTCTTCCATGAGCTGGGATTGCTTTGGCACTCTCACTAGTGTGGGGTCACAGGCAGAAAAGTAGCCTCCTTTTCTTCATTTTGTCCTGTAGAAGCAAGTCTCATTTCTCTTTTCTGGAACTGCGACTGCCTGCTTGCTCATTACTTTGCCTGGGACCCTTCTTCAAGACCTCCTTAATTGTTAGGAAATCATTTTTGTTTTCTGTAGTGTCTTTTATAAACTTAGTGTCGATGGTTACATGGTTTTAAGAAAAATACCGTAAGGAGAAGTGTTTGTCTTCATTTTCATCTTTAGTTGTCTGTAAAATCTGAATTCCACTTGGGCAGATTAATTTGTCACCACTTTATCCCCAACACTCTCTTAGTTTCCATTGTCTTTTATGGATTATAATTTACTATTCCCAAGAATATCCTTCTTCTTATTGTTTTCACAGAGGAGAATTGGTACAATAAGAACTTCCTTCTCACAGAATAAAACTCCCCTTTTTCTCTTACCCACTAGGTGGCTCAAGCGCACCATGCTGCAGCTCAGTCTGCTATGTGTGTGCTTCATCAGTGCTTTCTGCTTCCGAGTACAGTACTCTTGCTTTCAAATTGTCTGGTGAGCCCTTCTCTGCACCTACTATTCCACTGCTTTACATTTATGTGAATGGAAAATTTCCTCACATTTTCTAATTATTTACAAACAGTGTAATTGTTCCTCATATGAAAAGTAAAAAACACTGCATTAAAATACTGAGATGATTTTGTATTTTGTCTTAGACTATTTTGGACTTCAATTCACTTGCCAATAACCTGTATATAGATGGCCTCAAACTAGGCATACAGTTATAACTCATCCTTTTCTTCCTGATTGATAGTTACTATTCCTAGGATATAGTATTACTTCAGGAGTCTTTTTAAGGTACTGTGGGCTAGTTGCTTCTGTCAGTAGTAATATTTATTGTTTATGCACTTGGCACCCTACAGGTAGAGGGGAAAACTGGATGAATAAACAATCATGTTTATCAGTAGCAAACCCACTGCATTGATTTATTTTTTCTTGAATTTGAAGCTAAATAATGAGTTGTATGAAATGGCTAATGGAAGTTATGTTTGTAAATATCCACGAGGACAGATTTGTTTTTGACATTGTCCAAAATAAAAACATTTAAACTGTATTCTTTAGAAATATTTTATTATGCTTAGCTGGGTGTGGCAATACAAGCTTGTAATCCTGGCTACTCAGGAGACTGAGGCAGGAGGATCACAAGTTCAGGGCCAATCTGGGCACCCTGGTGAGATCTTGTCTCAAAAGATAAATAAAAAGGATTTGAGGTGTATGTAGGTCAGTGGTAGAGAGCTTGCCTAGCATGTGCCAGGCCCTGGGTTTGATCCCCACTACCATAAAAACAAAACAAAACTGTTTATGGTTGGTGGTTATTTTGATTTAAGTACAAAGGAGAGGCAACTAACAATGGTTGAATGCTTATTTTTCCAGTTTCTTACTTAATAAGAAATTATGTATATTATTTTATTTGATTCACCCAATAACCTGGCAGACAAGTACAAATATCTCCAATTTTTCAGATGAAGAAACTGAGGGATCAAGTGGCTTAAATAAATTTCCCAGGAGTAAACAAATGGTAAATGGAAAGGCAAAATGTTTGGACCTGTCTCAGACCTGCTTTTAAATACCTTTTCTTCCTAAGTGTCCTTTTGTAGTCTCCTGGAAAAAAGGTGCTTGTGCCTTCAAAAGCAACCTGAGCCACTCTGGCATATAAGATTGCCTGCCTGCCTGCCTGCCTGCCTGCCTGCCTGCCTGCCTTCCATCCATCCATCATCTATCCATCTGTCTATCTAAAATAATTATTTTCTGAAATGGAGCTGTTTTTAATTCTTACATCAACTGGTTGAATACTTCCATATCTGAAAGGCAGTAAATGCCAAACAAAGGAGTGATTGATTACCTTTGGGAATTGATTTTTAAATATTATAGAGAAATTTGTTTCTGTCAAAATAGAGCAAGCAACCATGCTGTCTCTTTGGCAGGAAAACTTAAAAATATAAAAAGCTCTAGAAATTTGTTCAGAAAAATTTTTGTACCTAATAGTTTAGTCTTTTTTTTGGTACCGGGGATCGAACTCCAGACCTTGCACCTTGGAGGCAGGTGGTGGAACCACTGAGCTAAATCTCCGACCCCCTAATAGTTTAGTCTTATTTTTCAGGTATACTGTTTTTATATGTTTAGTACCTATTGTAGTAACTATGAATGATTTCCATCAGTTTGAAAATATATGATTTAAGGAAGATGATGAGTTATTAAGGTAAAAAAATACATAAGTTTCTAACAATACTATAACTAGGTAACAGTTTGTGTGTCTTCATAAAGTTCCTTTGATTTCTCTCATTTAAAGATCCTTGCAGCTATGCTTTAAAGCAGGAATTACGGTGGTTACCAATTTTCTTAAACAAGAGTAAAATAAAGTAAAACAGTTAAAAAAATTGTTAGTGAATGGGAGTATCTAATTTCTCTGTGGCTGTGGTATAATTTCCTGGTTCTGTAGTCTTTGTCCTTTGTTTTGTTTTGTTTTTTTGATACTGGGGATTGAACTAGGGACCTTGCGCTTATGAACCAGGCAGTGACAACACTGAGCTAAATCCCTGGCCCTGTCCTTTGTCACTGTATCTGAAAATGTTTATTAGATACATATGCTTCAAAATTGAGGTTGTTTCATCATAGCTATTAAAAGAAAAATAATCATAACTTCTAACTGGACCATTGATGTCATTTTGTGTCACCAGATTTAAGATAATGTCATCCTCCTATGACTATAAACTTATATCCCCCATGCCACCTTGCAATTATCCTACTCAGTGACAAGATGCACTGACGTTTTTATTCCTTTTTATGTATTATCAGTTATTGACAGTATTACCATATTATACAGTGTTATTTTGTATGGAAATCCCTAAACTTTGACAATTCTTGATAACCAAGATAATATCATCTATAAAGGACTCATCTGTCTATAAAAATTTTTTGGCAAAAGTGTTTATAAAAAGTGTATTGAATTCCTGGACAAGTTAGTAGTGATAAGTATGTAACCTGAATGATATTTGAGCTCTAAGGAGGGAACTTTCTTTCAGTTGTCAGTGAATGAGCATGTTTAATGAGTTAGAGTTGTGGCATGATGGATTACGATTAGCTGTCTTAATCAGCTTCATCCAAACCTTAATAATTACATTGTTTAGTCACTTCCTTATTCAGTAATGATGTTATAGTAAATAGTCTGAATAGCTAGCAAATATGCTCACAGATTTTAAATATCTTTGATGAGTAGAGCCCACAAGAAATTGAAGACAAATGAAAATCCTTTAGAATTATGCAGGGTTTTTATTTTTTTTCCTTTTTTTGAATTTGAATGAAATTCAAATTTTTTTAATAAGAAAATCCTGCCTGCCTCACAAGCAGAAGGACCCGAGTTTGATCCCCGGTACCAAAAAAAAAAAAAAATCCTATTTAACCTGTTGTAACTTTTTGTTAGTTGAAAGGTAGGTTTATAGAAAATTAGTATTTATATATTATCTATATTTTAAGTACCAAAAGTACCGTTGTTTTGTTATTTTGATTTTTTTTTTTAACTATGCTCCATGGTGGAGAGGCAGAGCTTTTATTGTGTGGCAGTACATGCTGCTTATGTATAAACACAAATTTTACAGATATCCTTATCACATGGTCTGAATTCTAATACTTCCTTTTTTGTTTGATTTTTTTTTTTAAGAAATTTGAATCCACTAAGTTGACTTCATGATCCATCAGTGGTTTGGGACTCAGTTTGGAAAACATTGCCATATAGGATTGAAAAGTAAGTTTTTCACCTTAAATATTAGCAGCAGACTAATCTAAAAGAGTGTGAGTATTTGAAAACCTTTATGGTAATTGAGTAGCAGAAAAAAATAAAATGAATCCTTCATGCTAAGTAATCAGCAAATATTATTTGACTTTTGTTTTCTGAAATTTAACTGAATGCTTAGAAGATATTAGATCAAGAACTATCTGAAGTATCAAGCTGACAAAGAAAACTTTAATATTGATTGAGTTACCATGGTTGCATGTCTGCCCTTCAAATTAAGGCTATAAAAGATGTTTCAAGTTAATTGTTTTTAAATGATGTTATTAACCAGAGCACAGCATTCTAAATATGAAAAGTCTATGCAAATATAACTTTATTTTATATGTGTCCATGATACTATAAAAATATTGTGAACATTAATAACTTTGTTGCTTCATTTATGTTCAGTTGACTTTGCATAGCTAAGAAACTTGACATTTCTTGGTTGACAAAAAAGTTTAGATAAATAGATAACTTTTAGTATATTCTGAAAGGCAACAGTATCATGTGGGTTATGAATGAAATTCAGTGAAAAGTATCATTTCCTAATCTTAGATGGTGGTAAATGTTGGAAAAGTTAAAAAAAGTAGAGAAGATAGAAATGGTGGTGAAGGGCATTTCACATAAGGAGAACAGAGGCATGAAGGCAGAAAAGTTTGATTTGTTCAAGAAATTTTTAAAAATGGTTGGATTTTGTTAGAGTCAGTTTTTTTTTTTTTTTTGGTACCGGAGCTCGAACTCGGGTCTTTGTGCTTGCGCGGCAGGCGGCGGAACGACTGAGGTAAATCCCCAGCCCTAGAGTCAGTTTTTGATTAGAGGAAAGAATTGTTAAGAAATCTTTGAAATAGTTGAGGAGAAATTAATTTGAAACAGAGCAGTATCTATGAAAATAGAAAAGGCAAGTAGCCAGCACATCCAAGTAAAATCCATACAACTCGTTTATTGAAAAATATTAATTCTGGGATCTGAGCTTTGAACATAACATATTCTTTTCTCCCTTGAGGCATTTTTAGTGTAGGGAGATCAGGAGAGTGCTAGTGATGGAGAAAAGTCAAGGGTGTCATGGAAGTGAGTGCACTGGCTCCTGAACTGAAGCCTCCCAGATGAGGAAGTCACTAGGGAAAGTGAGCAGGGAAGTGTGATACAGACAGAACAGGACAAAAACAAACCAACCTGTGCTGGCTCGAAGGAAAGAGAGATTGGAGTACACTAGAAGCACTTCATTGTGACTGGAATCAATGGAATTGGATCTGGGAGGAGGATCTGTTAAGAGGAAAGGCCAGGGGCAAATCATCCAAAGTCCTAGAATTCCTAATGGAAGTTTGGCCAGAAGGAATCATGATATAATTTTAAGTCAGGGAGATTCAGAATCAAATTTAAATCTTAGAAAGATTAATAAACTAAGCAAAAGGTGTAGGAAGTACAGCTGGACCAGTTTTGGAATCAGTCGTGGTTATCAGTTAACATCAGATACTCCCACACTTTCCTGTCATTATGTCTTTGCTTTTCTCTGTTGTGTCTGCTTCATTGTTCTGTGTGTGCTGGATTTTCTTCTTCTCTAACAGCAGAGCCAACCTACAGCTTTTGAGTTTCACTTCTAAATTATCTCGAGAGAGTCTAATTGGCTTAAGTAGCTTGTCTACCCTTGGTCTAATCAGCTGTGGTTGAAGGATGGGGTCATATAGCAGAAACATAAGTGCTTCAAAGTCCACCTCTTTCATAGTTAAAGGGTTGAAGTGAGTTATGGACTGGACCAAATTCTTAGAATGATCAAACTTTGGAAGATAATTCTGGCTGCAAAATGAAGAATTGGAACCAGAAGGATTAGAGGCAGGGAACCCCTTTAGAAGAATATAGTAATGTAAATGATAGATAATGTTGGCCAGAACTAGGATGGTGAACAAGAAGAAAACAGATTTGTGGCAGATAAAGCTTGACATTCCAGAATCACGTGGTAGGTTGGATGTGGGAGAATGAGGAGTCAAGGCTAATGTCTCTGTTTCTGGCTTGAATAACTGATTGGATATTGATAGCAGTTCCTGAGGTGAAAAAGCATAGGAGAAGCACAAGCAAATTTGGTGGAAATAAAGAGGGATAAAGGACTTTTGTATTGTATAGTTTGAGACATTCAGGTGCATAGCGCATTGGATGTAGTATGTATCTAGAGGAAAGAATTCAGTAGCAGACAAATGTTTGAACTTGTTCAGTTCTATGTGATAACTGAAGCCATGAGAATGGATAAATATAACATGAGGAGAGGGCCAGCTTTCTCTCGGGAATCATGTTTGAGGGATGGTGGAGGAAAAGGAGCCTACAAGAGCGACTGGGAAGGAACAGAAAAGAGTAATAAAAATCAGTAGCACATAGTGTTTTTAGGAACCCAAGGAAAGAGTTTCAGGCAGGAGAATGTGATTGATAGTGTCAGTCAGATGCTGCTAAACTGCATGAGGAGTAAAGTTCTGTTGAGTGTTGCAGCAAGAGGCTGGGTGATGACCTTCATAAATGGGTTTAATGGGATTGGTGAGATCAGGATTAATTATTATGGGGAGGCAAAGAGATTGTCTTAGTTAATTTTCTCATTGCTGATACAAATTATCTGACACCCAAAGTTAAAGGAGAAAGGTTTATCTTGGCTTACAGTTCCTAGAGGTTTCAGTCCATAGGCAGGGTAGTGTGGCCAAGGGACATTGCAGAGGAGAATCAGTTCTTGGTGAGGCAGGCAGCGTAAGTAGAAGGCAGTGGGCAGCAAGCAGCAAGTGAAGAAGGAGCAAGCAACCATAGCAGTCCTCTTTCTGTCCCTTATATTTTATCCAAGTTACCTGCCCTGAGTGTGGGCAGCACTCATACGCACGGTGGGGTACCCTTAATCCTACCCAGAACCATGCAGAAATAAATCAGTGGACTAATTCCGTAACCACACACCCTTAATGTCAGTATCATACACTCTAGATCCAACCATCTCTGAAAAGTCCCACCTATGAGAGCATGAGGCTTTGGGGGAACATCTAGACACAAGCCATAACAGAGATCAAATGGCAAATACAAACACTGTGTAAGCTGTTTTGCTGAGAGTGGCCGGTGGCTAGAGGTGTGATGACAGTGAAGTTGGATTTTTAACCATGTTTTTTTTTAGGAAGCAATGGGAGAAAGAGTGAAAATCAGTTGAGCAAGATCTGGAGAGTTTTTTAGAGCACTGTTACTTTTAATGGTGAAGAATAAAGTATGTTGTGTCAGGTCTGGTAGTGCATCTCTTGTTATCCCAGCTCTCAGTAGACTGAAGCAGGAAGATTGTGAGCTGGAGGCCAGCCTAGAATACATAGCGAGTTTAAAGGTCAGCTTGGGCTACATAGTGAGATCCTGTCTCTAAAAAGAAAAATAATAATAATAATAAATTCCTGGAAACTAGCTTAGTGAATGGAAGCTGAAGTATTTCCTGATTTTTATTTTTCTCTGGAAAGGAGTTGCAGTTACCTTGAAGTAAGGTAAAATTGAAGATTTAAGGAACATGGTGACAACTTGAAATTAATACTGTAGAAGTTAGAGAAGGTAGCAGACTTGGAAATGTAAGATGTTTTACCTGGCTTAGATTGGAGGTCTTGAATCCAAAAATTAGCACCAGTATGCACAGTTGTGTTTTATTCAGCAATCTAGTTATACGTTCGAAAGAAAGAGACACCTGGTCGAGCCTATGATATTGATGTAATGGTGGCATGATGGGTCATAATATAAAGAGAAGGGAGTGAAGAAGTTAAAAGAGAGGACTAATGGGAATATGAGTTGTTAAAGGCCTGTGGTCTTGAAGTGCAAAGTGAGAATAACTCAGTGTGAGGGCCAGTCCTAAAATGAGAATGACATTAAAAGAGAATGAAGCAGAAGCTTCCTGGGAGGTTTCCAGCCTGTGTTACTAGAAGAATGACATTGCCCATAGAAGAAATAGACATGGAAGGAAAAGCAAGTTAGTTTTAGAGGGAAGAAAAGTTGGATTTTTACTATTTCAAGTTTGAGTTCTATTGGAACATCTTACTGAGATGATCAAGAGACTGTAGGAGAGGGGTCAGGGAAACAAAATTGGGAGATCATAATTGAAGCAGTGAATTTACTAAGCAATATAGTGATTAGATCCTCTTTGATACATTTAAGAGTGGGAAGTAGGAGTAATCAGAGAAAAGGTGTTTGCAACTATTGAGCAATTTGCAAAGAAACTTGGGAGAAGTTACAGAAGTTCCCTGAGTAGGTAGGCCACTGGATGAGACTTGTGAGTGGCCCTCCAGGGAACTCAGGAGACATTGTCAAAGTTTAGAGTAATCTTGGCTTCTTGGCGTTATGTTTATTACCAGTTATGTGGGAGTATTTTAGATGTGATTTTTTTAAAATCTCCCCAGTATACTAACATTTTAAAAATAATTCTTACTAGCTTCTTTATAAAAAGGTATTAGCTGTGTTCTGGCTTTCTGAAATGAAGTATACTGGCCATTTAGTTTCTTAATACCTCAGGAAGGTTATAGTTATTACTCAGGGTAAACAAGGTTGAAGCCTTTGGAATATTGTTAGGACCACTTGATCTTATACTGAGTGGTTCCAGTGTGCCACTTTCTTACTCACTTGTTGCATTAAGTTATTTGACATTATTATTCAAGGATCTTTTTCGATGGTGGCTGATCTGGCTTGTGTCTAGATGTCCCCTCAAAGCCTCATGCAATCATAGGTGAGGCTTTTTCAGAGGTGGCTGGATCTAGAGTGTGTGATGCTGGGATTGATTCATGCCGCAGTGCTAGGCTCAAGGACACTAGGATTAAGGGTGTGAGTGCTACCCACCCTAAGTAGACTGGATGAGATAAAAGGGGCAGGAAGATGTTGTTAAGGTCCCTTACTGCTTTGCTACCTTCTCCATACCATGAACTCTTGCCTCTGTCATGTGCCACTCTGTCTTGGAGCCAGCCCATTATGGATTGAAATCTCTACAGACCATGAGC